TTTGGTCAGCTATTCGCTCGATGGTTAAGATATAAATATCTGCAATGCCTCAGCTGCAAACAAATTTTATATTTTCTAAAACGTCAAGATATTTACCTATTCATTGGTTTTTAAATAATTTTATATTTTTGATAAACAGTGACAGTAAAAAAGGTTTTTTCTAATTCCAACAATTGATAAAAATAATAAAGGATATGCCTCCAATTGTCATTTTTAATATTATAAACAACATTTTGACAAAAAACTGCATTTATTATGTTGATTTTAATTAGTTTTGTTTCAAAAATTACTCAAAGTATATTTTCCAGCTTTAGATAAACTAAAAATACTTAAAAAGTTTTTTATTCTTTTTCCTTTTTGCTCTTTTGTATTTTTCAATCGCTCATTACAATAGTCTTCACTTGATTGACCATTTTGATCAATTTTTTCTTTTTCAAGAATTGACTTTAATTCAGCCAGTTTTCGCTTTGTTTGCTTTTTTAATGGCAATTCCGTGTCAGATTTGTAGCTGAGTTGGCAGTTAATGATGAGACATTTGTTGAGTATAAAACTGCTGTTCGGCTCACACAGTTTTGAATGAGAAATGAATTGCGGAAAACCGAGACAACGGACCACTTGGTCAAACTTTGCTTGATTTTCTAGATTTAAGTTAAAAAACGCTGATTAGTAGATAAGCAAAAACGCAAATGTGTTTACCTTTAACAAACACCTCCTTTCCATTAAAACCATAAATAGTAAATTTGTACCAAACTACTTGTTTTTCAAATTCTTTGTTAGTGTGTAGTTGTAAATACAAACTGACATGCTTGGATCCAGTTTGCTCATCAACGAAATAAGGTACCAATCGCAATGAAAAGGACAATTTGTCAGTTGGTTTCTTTTCAACATTAGAATCAAACTGGCTAGATTCTAAAGGATCCATGTGCATACTTTCTGGTCCAAGAAGCAAAGGAAAGTTTTCAATAGTCCAGGTGATTTCACAAGTTTTGGTGGCCATCTTTCTAGTGAGTTTTCAGTTAGCTGAACGATCGAGTCGAGTATTTGAATACAAATAAAGCTAGGTATGAGCCATTAGCAAGGCCTGAGCAGGGCAACAAATCCTGCCCGGCAGGTGGTCTCTAGTCTCTTTTTGCCCTGAAGCAAAACACAAAATTCCGAACTCGTCTGTTTTCTGTTTACAAAAAATAATACGCAAAAGGCTGATAAACTTTACTTTTNGGGCCTGAGCAGGGCAACAAATCCTGCCCGGCAGGTGGTCTCTAGTCTCTTTTTGCCCTGAAGCAAAACACAAAATTCCAAACTCGTCTATTTTCTGTTTACAAAAAATAATACGCAAAAGGCTGATAAATTTTACTTTTTGTAAGTACTAAAGTAAGTCAACCTGAAAAATCGTTTTATGGTTAGTTTATTGGCACAATTTGCTGTTTGAGTAACAATACATGTTGAAAACCAAACAAAAAAATACTGAAATTCAAAATTTGCCGTGATATAAATCTAAATAAAACTACAATTTTCAAAAATAATTAAACAAGTTTCTAAACTAAAAAACTTTTTTTAAATTATTGGTAATTTTTTATTTTGTAATGAACTTTATTCAGGTAACAGCACAGTACCCTTTGAATATCTTAGAGTTCAATTTGCTTATCTATGCGTAGGCTTCTAAAACAGCTTAACCAATACCCGTTTCCGCCTACACATTGCCGTTGCCCACTACAAGGTGTAACAAGTAAAGTATGAAGAGTTGCAAACAGATGCTTACAAACAATTTCAAATGACGTAGACGTTAGAGTTAGTGCTTTCCTTGCTTGTAGGTTGAAGAAAACGGGTTTAGGTTTAAAGTTATTCTGACTCATCTGTTCCTTCTTCTAACAAAGTACGTCGCACTCATTTACTACTGGTGAACTTTGTGATTTCATTTGCCTTCTCAATCTTTGTCCAAAATGAACTTGAATCCCAAAACACATTTAATTGGCCCAACACAATGTGACACTTGGTGTCACCGTCAGTCTCGTCTAGTTCGCTTTTCTCACATATGGACAATAGAAAATTTTACTTACTGCTTTGACAATGACCCTGCGTCAAGGCCTCTTCTGTGGTCGGCCATTATTTCCGCATCGCCAAGAGAAAAGTACAAGTTCTACTTAAAAATGTACCCCAAAGGAAATGTGCCTGAATGTAAAGATTTTGTGTCACTGTTTTTAAACTTGTGCATCACCGGAAATTTAATTGTGGATTACAAGTTTTCAATTGTAAACGCCGAGGGTAAAAAAGTGCATACTCAAGGTAAGTTTTTGGCAAAACACAATTTATGTCATTGATTTTTTTGCTCTACATTAGAGGACCGGCGAGAATTTCATTACTACACGACAAACGCAAAAACCAATCGAGATACTTTAGGGTTTGATAAGTTTATCAAACGTGATGAGCTTTTTGATCTAGAAAATGGTCTTCTTGTTGACGATAAACTGACAATTTATTGTGAGGCAAGTGTGCATTTTTATATTCTATTTTCAGTTCAATAAATAAAGTTATCTTTTTAGATAAGTTACATTTCAGACACCAAATCCGTTTCTGACACCAATGATCGCATAAAACTAATGGAGAGCGTTACTGAAAATCAAGCACTAGAAGATTATGGCAATTTGCTCAAATCAGAAAAGTTATCTGATGTCATTCTATCCGTTAAAGGAAAAAATTTGTTTGCTCACAAGGCTATCTTGGCCGCTCGAGCAGGTTATTTTGCAGCAATGTTTGAACATGAAACAAAGGAAAAGAAGGAAAACAAAGTGGACATACCTGATGTAGACGCCGAAGTTCTGACAGAGATGCTGACGTTCATATACACCGGAAAAGTGCCCTCCATGGATAAATACGCAATTGAACTGCTTGCAGTCGCAGATAAGTATCAACTTGACTCGTTGAAAACTATATGCGAAGAGGCGCTTTGCTCAAAGTTGGCTCCTGAGTTGGTGCAGAACTTTCTACTTCTTGCTGATTTGTACAACGCCAACAAATTGAAAACCAAAGCTTTGGATTATATTAGAAAGTAAGTGAAATATTTTTGTTTTTAAATAGCTTTATTGACTTTTTTATTTTTAGCCATACTCAAGATACAATGGCAGCAGTTCTCAATGGCAACAAACCCGAATTGCTAATTGAAGCTTTTCGAAACTTAGCTATAAAAAGCCAAAATTTGTTTTCTGAAAAACATGGTGTTATTGAAGAATTAAAGTAAAAACTTGTATTTTGTGTAAAATTAATTTATTGTTTATCTTATCACCAGCAAAACAGACTTCCTTTTAATAATTTTGAACAGCAACATTTTATTATAATTAAAAACTTTTTAAAACACAATGTTAAAGTAATAAACTTTTTAAATACTGTGAAAACACTGTTCATTTTTACTAGAAGCCATTTTATTTAACAAACAATCATCGAGTGTTGTTAGATAAATAACATGACACAAAAGAGAAAATAAAACGATAATTGAAACAGTAACTATGGAAATTGGATAAAGATAGCAAATTCTAAAAAGGTTATAAACGATTTATAAAACATTGCAGCAAAATTGGATTTTTTGCCTGTTTATTTTCAGTTTTTCCTTTACTGCCAGTAAAATATTAACAAATTCTTGTTAAAAATGCCCAAGTTTCAAACATTTTACTGTAAGTTTCACGTTGTTTTTAACAAAAAATTAATATAGTTGTTTCAAATTGTAGATAAACGAAGTTTTTTAGTGTTCTTCTCTTTTCGCTATTTCCGACGGCAAAAGTACATTTATATAATAGCCATCATTTTCATCTCATCTTTTGTTTGCTACATTTTTGGTGTTTTTGAAATGTTAAATGAACTTTACTACAACGATACTTTTATTTTAAGTTTACCTGAATCAAATTTAAAATATTTTGTCGAGGTAGAAAAGAATAAAAGCATCAACAACCAATACATTAAAAAATTCCGACAAAATAATTTCACCTACTCCTACGGTTTTAACCCTCATCAAAAGTGCCAAACTCCGCCAAAAATGTTTATCATTGTTCGAACTTCGGCTTGTAACTGGAAAGAAAGACAAGTTATCAGACAAACATGGGGTGACGAGACACAATTGAGAGGAGTAAACATTTCTACTGTTTTCATGCTCGGAAATTGCCAAAATCAAATGTGCCAATTTGAAAATCACAGCATTATTCACTGCCAAGAACTTCTTGACAGCGAAGACAACCAACATAAAGATTTAATCCAAGGCACGTTTCTTGACACATATCTTAATAGCACTGAAAAGATGTTTGCAGCCTTCAACTGGCTAGTAACCTACTGCCCTTTTACAGAATATGCATTTTTTGTTGATGATGATTTTTATGTTTCTGTTTCAAACTTACTAAAATCAGCCGAAAAATACTCTCAGATATCCAATGGATACCTCTACATGGGACACGTGTTTGAAAACATGCGACCTATGCGACAACATTTTAGTCGACATTACATCTCATTGGCTGAGTATCCTTTCTCTCGATATCCTCCTTATGCCACTGGTGGCTGTTTTATTGTTAATAATTCCACATTGATAGATCTGTTTTATGGAAGTTTGCATTTTCCAAAATTTCGCTTCGACGACGTGTTCTTGGGATTAATAGCAAGGCAATTGAAGATTAATATAATCAACAATGAGCAAATATACATTGAAAACAAAGCTACTTATAGTTCAAGCAATTTTAAAAACGTCATAGCATCACATTGGTACAATGATCCAGATGAGCTCAAAAACGTTTGGAATGAACAGAAAAAGTTAGGCTTTGCATAATGCTGTAAATAACTGTAAACCTTGTATATGTCATTTTTTATTCATAAAATTGGCCTGAAAATAAACAGGGAAGGGAACCTAATATTTCCATGTAAAAATTGTAAATAAAATTAGATTTTNCCTTGTATATGTCATTTTTTATTCATAAAATTGGCCTGAAAATAAACAGGGAAGGGAACCTAATATTTCCATGTAAAAATTGTAAATAAAATTAGATTTTTTTGTAATTTTTAAATAAATTGTTGCTAAAAAATATATTTTTATGTTTTAGATTTCAATGCATGTCGTAAAATTACGTCAAAAAAAGTAAGCACATTGCACTAAAAGGCTGAAAACACAATTACATTTAGTTGCATGCTATCGTAAAACTTCACATTATGCAATACAACAAAGTGTCATTAAGTTAATAAAAGTAATCTGTATGTAAAAGATGTGCAGCACATTCAGTTTGGCCTAAAAATTGCTAAAATGTCACAATTTAACAAACTACTGATTATTTTTGTTTTTTCAAACATTGTAATTGTGAGTTCTCAAAAAAATTCTCTTGACACGGGCATTCTATTAGCACCTGTTTACTATAATTCAAACTCTTTCAAAACAAAATTATTTGGTAATTTTTTACAAGTGAATCAACAAAAAAGTTTTGATTACATAATATTTTAAAAGTTTGTCCAAAAAATAGCACAAGAAGATTTGGGAAATATAACTCATGCTCTGACAACTGCGAAAACCGAAATAATCAAATGAAAACATGTTTTGAAATTTACCATTATGGTCCATACTGTTTGTGCAATGCTGGTTTTATTTATCAAAGTAACATTAACAAAACTTGCATTAAAGAAACTGATTGTTTTAGATAATTGTACATGTGATTTTTAATTAATAAATATTACAGTTTTATTCAATATTAAATGTTTTGCATTTCACTCAAATTATTTCAACAAACAATTTTTATATTTTGGAAACAAGTTTAATCTTTTCATATTCAAAATTTAAATAAAATTTCCATTAATTCAGTTTATGTTTAATATTTTTCAAAAGTAAAAATTTTAATAGTGTTTTTGCATTTGCAAACAAACTAATAAAGATTGCAAAAAGTACATTCAATATAATTTTATTTAGCAATTTTTGTTTATTTTAATTGTTGCACAGTCTAAAAATAACTTGGTAAGTGTATGATATTTCAATTTGATTTTGTTTCAATATTTGTATAAATTTTTACCTGTTGAATTGTTTTATTCGCTAATGAAGATTCATTTACCTACTTACTTTTAAAAACTAATCACACTATTTAACCTTATTAAAAAACTCAATGATTCATTCAACCCTTGAGCAACTATTTACGTCACTGAAGCTATTGACGACTATCTAATATTACTACTTGTTGCAATAAAATTTCTTTCAGTTTAATCACTTAATCTTTCAAAACTACTAAGTATATATAATATTTTAAGAAAACAAACGGTATCAAATTAAATCCTCCCTTTTGTTGTTAAAAATGCCTCAATTTTTGCTGCAAGCAACAGTTTTACTGTTGGTATTATTTACAGCCCACGTTTACTGTCAAAATAACCTTGATACTGGAATTTATCTCGAAGCTTCTTATGGCCCTTATAGTTCTTCAATGATTATTGACATGAACTTACATTTGTTTGTTGTTTGTACTATTTTAAATATGATGCTTTATTTTAAAATGCAATAAACAATTTGTTAAAAAAATATTGACTATTTTTCCTTTTAATTTGTTTTGTAAATTGTTAAGTTTTTTATCAAGGTCATCTTCTTTATTTTTTCATCAAAATGGACTCTCAGTTGCAAAACAAGTTTTTAAATCTAAAGTACTACGCAGAACTTGAACTTGTCACTAAAAATAAATTAAAAATGCGAAAAATAAAAAAGTATTTAACTGGCATTTTCTACAGCAAGGTTGCCAAATTATTTGTGTTTAAAAATGAATAAATTTTATTGTGTTAGTTTACTTCTTGGCTTTGTTGTAGCCTTTGTTTGGACTGCCCCTCAAAATTCACCTGACACTGTCGTCGAATTGACATCAGTTGCGCCAAATGCTTCTTCAACTTTAGCAAAACCGTTTGGTATTGTTGTTATTTCTTTTTATATTTTTAAACTTTAACTTACTATTTTTTTAGTTTGTCCGGCAAACACGACCCTTAGTACTGGAGGTCACTCTCATCGGAACTGTTACACAACTTGCCAAAATCGGGCCCAAACAATTGTTGCATGCCCTGCTATTTATATCGTAGGACCACATTGTCTGTGCAATGAAGGTTACATTTATAAAGAAAGCAGTGCCATTAACTACGTTTGCATCAAAGCTGAAGACTGTCTTATTTAATTTATCGTTGCAACTTGTTTATTTAATTTGTATTGTGTAAAAACGTATAAAAATTACAAAATACAGTTTTTAATTGATTGAACTTTTAGTAACAAACTCGGGAGATGATGTGTGCATCATACAGTAACCACGAGCGCAAGTTCCACGGTGGTCTCCAGGGCAAGGCTTGTTTTCATTCAGATTTTCAGTCAGTAAAAGTTTGTCACCAGACAAGCACTCAAGACGGCACTTTTCAAAATCAAAACGAGCAACTAATTTAGGAAATTTATCAATAGAAATGCCATGACGTTTGCATTCTCGCAAAGCTTCTGGATCGTTGTTTGCAAAAATGGGCATAACGCAAAAAGCTACCACAAAAATAACAGCTACCTTCATGATTGTAGTAAAATTAAAAAAGATTTTCAAAATAAAATAATTTTCTATTAGAGTTTGATGGCTTTATATACTGATTTCACAGTAATGATCACCACAGTGTGGGTAATTAATAAATTACCCCATTCATTGCAATTAGTGATAAACTTAAGTGCGTTTTAAGGCTGTGTCAAGAAAGACACTTGTGTTTTAAAAACTAAAAACAAGTTTTTAATCAAACTTTGCACTCACTCCAACATACCGAAAAAGAACCCTCA